TTTGCGGTACGCGGGCCTCTCACTGTTGTGGCCTCTCCCGTTGCGGAGCACAGGCTCCGGACGCGCAGGCTCAGTGGCCATGGCTCACGGGCCCAGCCGCTCCGCGGCATGTGGGATCTTCCCGGACCGGGGCACGAACCCGTGTCCCCTGCATCAGCAGGCGAACTCTCAACCACTGCACCACCAGGGAAGCCCTGTATTACCTTTTAAACTTTCATTTGAATTGTTTAGTTTTAAATAACTTTCCTGGAGGTGTGAGAAGGAAAGTTTAAATGTTTTTTTAAGTGCTGCTGTAGTACTCATCAGGTAAAAACTAACCCAAGGAGATGATGAAATTAGTAATGGATTTGTTAGCAAAGTAGCTCCATATGTGAGATCTTAACGTCTTCCTGTGACAACGTGGAGTACACTGGGAGCTGAGTGTAGTATTTAACATCCTCTAAGACAGTCACTCTTAACCAGAATTGTGTGTCAGAATAACCTAAGAAATTTTTAAAAATATAGTTGCCTGGCCCCAACCCCACAGAATCATTGTGATATACTTCTAGAGTTAAGCATCACTGGCCTAAATGTAATATTCCAGGGTGACATAGCTTTCACATCACACATACAAATTTTTAAGTTGCATTAAAATGTACACTAGCCATTGGAAATGGTAATATACTTACTTTAGAGATAATATTATAAAAGTAGAAAGTTTTGGTTATTCTAGTATTCTGTGCTATTTTTAAATACCAAAATACCAGGAGTTTTGTGGATTGTAATAATTTTTTGAAATTTCAGTCATTTAAACCTTAAGCAGGCTACGGTTCATTTAAATTTAGTCATACAGATGTGCATATGCAGATGTTGAGAAGAGCAGTCTGACTACATACCCTCCTGAACTTCAGTTCAATACCTTTTCAAAGTATCTGTGCTTTAATTCCCTGTTCTCAGAAATTACTGAAGCTAGACATCTATTTTTATTTTTATGAATCATTTGTACTTCCCTCAGATCCAGTTTGGGTCCTAGTCTACCCCTAGAATTAACTAGGAGATACCTTAGAATTAGGGTTAGGGGTAAGAGGGAAGGAAGAGAGCTGGGAGAAGGATGGGGGAGCTGGGGGTGGAGCTGAGAGAAGGGGGAGGGGGCCGAGGAGGACTGAGCTAGTTGGAAGAGGAAGGAGGGCCCAGCCCTTTCTCTGGAGCCCCTGTACCTTTTTTCCCATAGCAAAATTCCTTCTGTTCCTCTTTTGCTTCCTCCAGTGTCACATCCATTCTCTTAGGACCTGACTCCTCTTCCCCTAGGATAATTTATTTTAACCAAGTCCTTGTTCTCCATCCATCCTACCTGGAGAGACTCAGGCTGGAAGGACAGAGAAGCTCATCTTTGAACTCGGCCTTTTCTCACATGTAACAAAGTACAGAAGACAGTGGTGACCAAATCTTAATTTTTTTAATTAAGAAAAAGTATTAGGTAATATAAATATCAATATAGTCATTTGCTTTGATATTGAATTTAGTTAAACTTCACAGTAATAAAAATGGCAAATCACAAGAGTATCAGACGTCTTCCATGGAAAGTCTTGCTCTGTTATTACCTATACCTAGATTGTAAATATGTTATAGGTAAGATCCTTTAGAAGTACTATGAAAGTTGTTTTGTTCACTAGCGAACCACGAATAATTTTACATTTACTCGGTGTATTTTATCTCCCTAAACTAACTCCAACCCAGGATAATTAACTCTAAGTTAACTTGTCACCCATTATTCCTTTCTGTCATATCAGTTCAGCTGCAAGGCCCTCTCTCACCTACTTCAGAGAGAAGCAGTGCACCCACAGTCCTGACTCTTCCCTCTCCCCCAAAAGCAATATGACCCGGAATGTCCTCACTCTTGACAACAGCTAAATGGCCAGCTCTGCTTGAGCCTAGAGAAATGAAGAGTTGACAGAGATTCTCCCCTTGACCAAACTTTAGTCAGGCTCCTCTGAGCCCTCTGCTCCACTAGGTCTGACCCTGGGCTTCCATCTCTGTTTTTGTAGAGTCTGTTTTTAGCAAGAATCCTGCTAAGTCAGTTTAGCTAGAATCCTCACCCTCAATATGTGATCAGCCTTGATATCTGTCCAAATTTCTCACACACACTTCCCCCCCACCCCAGGTAATATGTGATCATCCTGGCCTGCCTTCAGCAAGAATTCTGTTAGGTCAGTTTTTCAAAGAATTATCCTACCCTCCTAGTAATTCTCCATCCATTGACTGCCCCACTCCCACCCCATGGCTATAATCTCTACTTTTTCTTGTTGTTTTTGAGTTGAGCCCAGTCTCTCTCGTTTACTGCAATACCCCATTGTAGTGTTCCCTATCATGAGAGTCCGAATAAATTCTGCTTTACTGTTTTAACAAGCATCATGGATAATTTTTTCTTTAACAGAACCTTGAATTAACAAGACAGATAACTTTAGCTCCACCTTTAAAAAGAGCACTCTTTCAAATTGATCCACCATATCCAGGATGCCAAAAATCTAGTAGTGTTCTGCTTTGAGAGTCCCAGTCCAGTCCAGAATCCATCATATTGGATTGGCCAAAAAGTTCGTTCGGGTTTTTCCGTAAGATGTTATGGAAAAACCCTAATGAACTTTTTGGCCAACCCAATACTTTATCCTCTTATTTTATGTCTTATATAGGAGGCAGGCGTCCATTAAGATTATGCTATAGATTTATTTTAAATTTGATGTTTGGCATTTCAATACAATCATTTTTATATGAACAGTATTTTAAATGATGGTGTCCCAGACTAACCCATAAAAGCCTGTTTGACCCACAATGTAAATAAGTAATACCAGTGAGGGGAGGGGAAAAATTTTTTTTCTTCTACCCTTCTGTGTCCTAGACAGATTGAGAAGAGAAAAGCATACAAATTTATTGAGTGTTTTACGTGACCTGGGAGTCTTCACAAGGAAATGAAGACCTGAAGACGCACTTAAACCTGAGCGTTTTGTGCTAGGTTTGATGAAGGGTAGAAAGTCATAGGCAAATGTGATGGGACTGAAGGATATGAGCTAAGGATGATAAACTGGGGGAGACTTAGCAAGACGCGTTTGTTTGGATTCCTCTGAGTGTCCCTCCATTTTCAGAGATGAGGATGCTCCTCTCTTCCAGAAAGAGAGAGTACCTTTCATAAGATGGTCTTATGATCTGCTTCACAGGAGAAGGGGAAGGGCAGAGAGTCCTTCCTGCACCTGACATTTCTCAAATTCCTTGAGCTTAAAATATTCAATATGCCAACATACCATATTTTGGGGAAGCATGTCCTGAACCCCATCACTAATAATACGTACATTGAATTCTGGATTGAGGGGGAGAGCAAGGTTAAGAAGGTTGAGTTCAGAGGAGGTAAGGAGGAGGTGCTTCTTGAGCCTGCCTTAGACAAAGTTTTGAATTATAGAAAGTTTGTCTTTGATGCCCTTTGAACTCTGCCTCCTTCCACTCTGTCCTCTTCTTTCAAGGGTTGCAGGGTGCACACACTTCTTTAAGCTCTACACTTTATAAGCATACTCGGATATATAGTATTGTGCCTAGGTAGATTTTTTAAATCTAGAATTACCTTCTTCTATGCCCCAATCAAAACAATCACAACTAATTGCTAATTGCTTGTCAATGTGACACTTTTACAGTGGGAGTGTACAATTAACATATGAATACAATGAAGTATACACAATTATGAAAAAACCCTTTTCCAATACCAGTTGACCTCAAGGGTAAGAAGAAAGCAGGTTGTGTGGACTAGATTACATTAAGTCTCTGAATGATTTCCCATCACACTTTAGCCTTTGTAAATGAGTATGCCTGTTAACTAATCTCAAGTAAAGGATTAGAGTCTTTCCAGGTACTGGGAAAACTGAAGTGGGAAACTAGGGGAGTATAGAAAAAGGTATTTAGGGACAAAAGAATATCAAGAATAGGTAGACTGGTACTGCCTAGCAGTTTTCCCTGGCAGACAACTTCAGACTGTTTTTGCCTTTGATTCTTCCCTTTCTGTTCTTCTTAAGCAATAGGATTTTTTTTTAACTTCCAGTTTTTTTCCTTTCATGAAGCTCCTATAGCAGCATTCTAGAGAGTAGAGAAAATGAAAGAAAGTTATTTTGAGATGGTGACTGCTTGTATATATGTGTCATAGCAGAAAATTGCTTTTTTTGCCCTTGCCCCAAAAACCTGAGTTAGTAGGATCCTCATTCGTGTGTGTGTGTGTGTGTGTGTGTGTGTGTGTGTGTGTGTGTGTATAGGTTATGCAAGTTAGTAGGATCCTCATTCCTG